ATCAGATGTAGGTAGGGCAGAATTAAAAAAAATCAAAATCAAAGTAAAGTAATGAAATAAAAGGGCATTAATAACAAAAGTAATAACAAATAAAATTAAAATAAGTTTATAGCCAAAATAATTAAAGCCCGTACACTACATCAGATTTTAATCAGATTGCAACACTTCGTTTTTATAGATATGACAGCTCAGTAACGGCACACATGTCATCAGCCACCAACACATCGTTTTTATAGATATAACAGCTCAGTAACGGCAAACATGTCATCAGCCACCAACACATCGTTTTTATAGTATGACAGCTCAGTAACGGCACACATGTCATCAGCCACCAACACATCGTTTTTATAGATATAACAGCTCAGTAACGGCAAACATGTCATCAGCCACCAACACATCGTTTTTATAGATATGACAGCTCAGTAACGGCACACATGTCATCAGTCACCAACACATCGTTTTTATAGATATAACAGCTCAGTAACGGCAAACATGTCATCAGCCACCAACACATCGTTTTTATAGATATAACAGCTCAGTAACGGCAAACATGTCATCAGCCACTCTCGCATCGTTTTTATAGATATGACAGTTTAGTAAGAGCAGCATATCATTCACCGTCGTATACAAAATACTGGTTTGAAAAATAATATTGGCCAAATAATATTTCACAGTCGTAATTTTCAAATAATAAATCTCAGAATGTATTATGCATAATATGATTAAACGTTCGCTCATTCATGTTTATTACGCATTTTAGTCAACGTCAAAATATATATAAACCATTTGATAATTGCGTTTGTTCTTTCCACAAATGTCAACCTCTGACCTTATTTTGACAGAATAATTCAAATACGTGTTAATGAAATTTTACTGCATTCTGATTCTGATTTCGAAAGACATGTTTTTGTTGCGCTTTTATTTAGGGGGTTACCGTTATTGATGGAACGTTGTTAGTGATTTGCCTTCGTAAATCACTAATAACGTTAAGTTATAGAATTAGCATAGCTACACCATATTATTACCTCATACGGCTGAAATAATATGTTATACTCTGAACTGTTCTGCGTGTGAATAGGAAACCATGTATAGTGTTATTCAGTGATTATCTGAATGTATATCAAAATGACAAACCAACTATTTGAAAGCAGATTTATTTGAAAAAAGATTCCTTGGAATGAATACACAAACATGAAAGCAAAAGTAAGTCTACATTGAAGGCTTTGTTGAATGCAATATGGTAGAAGGCAGTCAATTGATAATCACCGCCATTTCAATAATATGACAACAATGTCTCCCATATGTAACAATAACTCCGACCAGCATTAATAATCTTTCTTGCAAAACTGAACATAAAATAAAACATGCTTAGTCCGAGTCTAGTGCCCTAGTTAGTTGAATCTAGGTATCTAGTGGTTTAAATATCTAAATTGAGATTGGAAATCGTGATCAATACTGATGATTTAACTAAGTAGAGCACGAAAACCTTAGTATAATAATAAGCATACAAATTATCAAAAATTAGATTTTGACCTTCAAATATTATATTGCAAGGTACACGTTGTACCTTCGGGTGTTTTTTTGAAAAATAACTTTATGTGGACAATTTCATATTTGAAATTAATATACGGTCTACACGATGTAATTATTGCCCACAAAATGAGCGTATATATCTGTTCGATATCATTAGTTGCTGTTTATATCCTCTAGATATATATCGCGTTGCTTGTAGTATACGTTTACGGATAGATGCCCAGAGCTGTAACTTGTACAGCAGTTTTTGTCATTATTGTAGTATGGCATTCTTAATCGCAACAATCCCCAATCAACGTAGTCAGTCAATGAAGCCTACTTGTAAGGTAGTCTTGACGTCACAGTGAGAGTATATTGTTACAATGGATTTATTATGAGTAAAAATACATTTCGGATCAATTCAATTTCAATTCGGTTATTTAAAGTCAGTTTGAAATACCTAGCCAATGGCTAATATCACTGACTACTAAAAAATACATTAAACAAAAGCAAAAATTACAAACATCAAACACAGAGAAAAACAACAGTAAAATTTCACAAATAATCAATTAAATATCTTAAAATGATGGTGACCACAATGACACCATTTGCTTAAAAGAATACAAATCTTTGCACTCCTTCATTCGATTAGGAAGCGAGTTCCATATGTTCGCACCATAATAAGACAATGACTCCAG